GCTCGAGCCCGCGAGGGCGCGCGCGGCAATCAAGGCAAGTGGGGCTAGTTTGGAGCATTTCGAATGTTGGTGCATGACGTCGCCCTTCTCGCACAGGTGCCTGCCCCCCAAGGTATTTGCACGGGTCCTCTGAGGCCGTCTTGGGTTGCCGGCGATGGTGATGCTGCTGATGATGATGACGACGATGAGGATGATGATCAGGATGATAATGATGGTGGTGATGATGACGATGATGCTGTTCATAATGATGTGGTTGTGAATGATGATTATGATGATGATGATGATGATGATGATGATGATGATGATGATGATGATGAGGGCGGTGGTGGTGATGATGCTTGTGATGATTATTATGCTAGTGATACTGGTACTGATATTGAGAATGATGATGATGTTGATGATGATGATGAGGAGGAGGAGGACAATGAGGACGATGAGGACGATGAGGACGATGCTGATGCTGATGATGACGCTGATTATGATGATGACGCCCCATTCCTGAGTGAAGGTTTCATATCATGTTCCGCCCGCCCGACCAGCGTCTTCGGCGGTTGTGATATCTGTTCCCCGAACTTTATCCCAACACAAAGTGCAGGTTGCATTTCATGTCCCGCCCGCCCGCCTGACTGAACCCCCTATCACTTGGTGACTAGCGCATTTAATGTCCGCCTGCCCGAGCGGCGTCCCCGGTTGTTGTGATGTATGTTCCCCCAATCTTTGCATTGAATGTTCCGCCCGTCGCCGCCGCCGTCGCCGTCGCCGTTTCCGTCGTCGTCGTCTTCGTGAGCTCAATCAAAACTCAAACGACGCTCAAACAAGATCAAGCAACGCTCAACCAAAGTTCAAGCACATCTCAAAGGAAGCTCTAGCAAAGCTCAGACAACAACTCACACAAAGCTCAAACAACTGTCTAGCAAAGCTCAAGTCAAGCTCAATCAAAGCTTAAGCACAGCCCCAGCAAGGATCAAACAGTGTTCAATTAAAGCCTACGCACAGCTCTAAGAACGCTCCAACACAACTCAACACAGCTCATACATAGCTCGAACACAGTCCACACCGCTCAAACAAAGTTCACACAAAGCTCAAACACAGTTGGACGGTATTTCCAACAAAATCACAGCTCAGAGGTAGCTCACACAAAGGATAGCCTGCTCAAGCAAAGCTCAACAAAGCCCCAATAAAGCTCAAACATAGCGCACACACAGAAAAGCTTAAAACACAGCTCAAACAAAGCTCCAACAAGTCCACAATCGGTTCGAATGTAGGGCGGGGAGGGGATTGCCCCCAGTCCTGTCGGGTTCGAACCGGGGGGCGGGAGAGTGTGACCCCCCCAGTTCGAACTGGGGATGGGGGGGGGTGTCCGTGCCCCCCCCCCCCCCTCCCTGGATCAAACCCGCAGGGTCTGTGACCCCCCCCCCGCCTCATCCCCGTTTCGAACTGGTGGGGAGGGGGGAATCTTACCCCCCACCCCTCCTTGCTTCCTGGAGGGGGGGGGGTCTCCTCCTCCCCTCCTCCCCTTCTCCATCTCCTCCTCCTCCTCCCCCTCCTCATCCTCCTCCTCCTCCTCCGCCTCCTCCTCCTCCTCCTCCTCCTCCCTTTCCTCCTCGTTTTTCTCCTCCTCCTCCTGCTCCTGCTCCTCCTCCTCCTCCTCCTCCTCCTCCTCCTCCTCCTCCCAGTTACAGATGTGAGAATACATGGGGCATCTCTCGGAACGACCGAGAAGTGAGCCGAGCGGGAGAGGGGAGCACGGAATTCAAATGGTAGAACATGCAGCCCCCTAGCGACAGTTTGGGGTCTCGGGCCTTCCGTCTCTCCCCCCTCTCCTCCTTTTGAGATCGTGTCGTCGTCTCCTCCCCCCCTGGCGTGGGCGCCCTGCTAGGCCCGCGCGCCCCCTCCCCTAGGGCACGCGGAAGGGCCAGCAGCCGCTCCCCCCGCTCTGACCCGATACTTGTGATGTAAGGTAGCGAGCCTCTCCTACGGGGTCACCTCGGATCTCGGTCCTTGAGCTACGTGGTATGCCCCCTGCCGGCCCTGGTGAGAAGGCAGGGCTGTAGCAAACAAATCGCAGGGGATTTTGGCAGCAGAGCGTAGGTCACCTGTGTCGGTGTTCGGACGTTGTACCCCCTTTATGCGTATGTCCTTGTCCTTGTCCTTCTCCCAGTCCAGCGACGGCAGATCGCGCGCCGTCGCATCTCGAGGTCCCCTCCCAGGGTGCCCACCACGCCTCTGTGGGGGCCTCCCGTGGAGGAGGAGAGGGGGGGGGCACCGTGGGGGCGGGCCCGCGGTCGCCTCCGCGTTTGCGCGCCGCCGACCGGGGGGCGAGGGGGCGCGGGGCGAGGGGGCGCGGGCTGCGAGGGGGCGGCTGCGGGTCGGGCGACGGGGTGGATACGTGCATGTCCAGGGCCCCCTGGCTCGGCCCGTGCTGGGCCGAGGCGCCGGGTGCTCTGGGATGGGCGAGTGGGTTGTCAAGGGGATCTGGGGGCCATCCGTGGACGCGAAGGGGGTCATACCTGGCCTTGCGTGGCGGATCAGTGGGTTGCACATGCCCCAAGTGGCTCAGGAAATTTGACAGCTCCGCTAACTGGGCGGAGCCCACTTCGTCTGTATCACCATCCCCCCAATCCATGTGAAACAGTAGCAACCCACGAATGAATTAGGTTAGGCCAGCCTTCCTGGCGAAGCCAGGAGGGCGTGGCGTATACACCGCTGCCGGGTTCAGCATGGGCCTTGCCGGGGAGCAGTTTAGATATGATGTATAGGTTTCGCTGTCCTGTGTGGCCGAGCGCGCGGCTGCGGGACAGCGCGCCGAGGGCCGAGGCCTTCCCAAAAGGGGGTCCGAACAGATGTGCGGAGGAGGGAGAGGTGCCCATGACGCTGCCCCTTCCCTCGTTTTCGCCTCTCCTGGGCCTCGTGGGAGGCCGTCGTCGCCACCGCTGGACTCGCCTCGAAATTTTGGTCAGGACGCACCTCAGGAGAGGTCCGGGGAGTCGCGGTATGGGTACCGCGTCGCATCCCCAGGTGTGGGGTCTGAAGATCGCGCCGCATCGCCGGTGCATCGGCGGTGCGGCTTGGGGTGGAGCCAGACTTACTCTTCGATTGCGCTCCGCTACAGGGTCCTGGTAGTGTGGAGGGAGGGCCGCAGAGAAGCCCCGCAGAGGGGGTGGGGGGACCGGGAACCCGGGACGGCCCCGTCCGCCAGCTGTTTTGCTTGCTTGAGGCTTCCGCACCATCTATTCCGGGAGCGTGCTCTCGCCTCGAAGCCCGCTGCGTGTGTGGCCCAGGCGGTCACGATCCCTTGGGCACGGGCGTGCTGTCGCGCGCGTCCCGAGGACCCGAACCGACGTCCCTGCGCTTCGACCCGCCTCGTCACTCGCGCAGCCACTCTTAAATCGGGCACGTCGCTCTGCAGGATGGATAGTCAAACATAGTCAGACAACTCGGAAGACGACTTTTACTTTTCGTCCAGAATCCGCCTATAGGAGGACATGCCCGACCTAAAGCTATTCGTGTGCTTTGCTTGGGTACGTTCCTCCGCGCCGACGTCTCCGGAGCATCGCAGGCGTCGCCGACGCGTCGCCCGATGCATCGGTGATGCGCCGATGGTTCGCGGCGCGATCTTCCGACCCTGCTTGCTCGAGCCCCGTGCGGGAGGACTGTTGCTGCCGCCCTCGCACGCCCCCTCCGATGATATGAAGAAAGCGGCTGAAGTATGAGCTCGCGAGATATTTTTGGAGCGAGAGCATCGGGGGAGCAAGACGTCATGACAGCGATGCGTTCCAAGGTTTTCAGGGCCTCCAAGATTTTCGGATGCTCCGCACGGGCTGCAGAGACGAGGGCCGCTAGGTAGTCCTTATCAATCCTGAAACGCATCCTGAGCCAATCCCAGAATTCACCACCCGCCAAACCGCCCTCAATCCAACCCAAAGGCCCACATTCGCTCTCCATTCCTAGCCGGGAGGGGGGGGGGGGCGTCGGGGAGCATTGAAAAAGACATGTGGAACACGTACCCCTCCAACCCGACATTTTACCTGAAATGTTGGTCTTCGGGTCAGGTTGGGGTGGTCTGGTAGGTAGTCAATGATGATGTCGCGCCAGAGTAGGATGCCCCTTGGCGGCGCCTCTGGCGCAGCACCCGGCGCGCTCCGCGAGGGTGGTGCCCAGCGCCGACCAGTAGAATTCCGCGCAGACCTCCGAATGCTTATGCTTTGCCGTTCTCTGGATCTGTCTCTTCCTGCCATCCTGCCCTGTCACATCCCCCTCCTCCCTCATCTTTCCCATTCTCCATCGCCCCTCCTTCTTCGCCCCTCTTCCTCCGCCCCTCCCCCGCCGCTCCTCCGCGCCTCATCGCACTGCTGTTGGCGACGAGTGTACTCGCCGTGTGCACATGTGCTACTTTCTGTCGCCAGAAGAAGCCCTCCCTCCTCCCTCCCAGGTGGAAACCAAGGGGCAGGAGGAGGAGCAGGTCGTGGAAGTGGAGGAGGGGCAGGTGGACCAGGAAGGGCAGGAACAGGAGGAGGATGTGGAGGAGAAGGAGGAGGTGGACAAGGAGGGGCATGAGAAGAAGGAGGAGGAGGAAGAGGAGGAGAACGAGGAGGAAGAGGATGAGGATGAGGAGGAGGAGGAGGAGGAGGAGGAGGAGGAGGAGGAGGAGGAGGAGGAGGAGGAGGAGACGGGGGCCGAGGCGGAAGCCGAGGGAGGGTGAGGAGTCCAAAGGCAGGGGCATGTGGGGCCAGACCCCCGACGTCGCGATTTTTTCACAACGTGACCCCCAGGAGCCTGGACCCCCTCCCCGGGACCGGTTTGTCACCCCAGTACATGTGTTCTTTGCCGCTCCCGGGGCCGGGCGAGGGCCTCCCTGGAGGCCGAGAGCAGCGAGAAGCCTCCCGTCGCGGTTTTCTCACGGCGCGAGAGGGGGGTCTGGCGGGGAGGGCGGGGGGAGGAAGCCGCGGGCGGCAGCGAGGGGGCGGAGCCGCCCCGCGCGCGGGCCCCCCGGCGCCCAGGTGCGCACGGGGACCCCCCCGCCTGCGCCGGACACGCGGCGGGCTCGGCCGCCTCCGCCGGCCGATCGCGGCACCCCCGGGCGCCGTCGGCACGCGGCCCGAGCGCACCTTCTCGGGGGCGGCAGAGACTATCAGGGGGGAGGGGCGGATGTCAGGGCGGTCACTCTTGCCCAGGGTCACTCTGACGCCTATAGCCGACATTTCTCGGCTATTCTTGGGCACTCCCCCCGCAGAGGGGCGTGCCCGACTCAGTATCAAAAACACCCTGGCAGCGTCGCGCGGAGGCCTCGGAGGGCCGAGCGCCTGGGCATCCCAGGAGGCGTGCGCCCGCCCGGCGGCCTTGGCGCTGCCGCCAGCCCAGCCTCCGTCCTGAAGCACGGCGGGCTCACCCTAACGGGCGAAGATCGGGCTGGACGAGAGCGGGGGATTGGGGAAGCGGGGGTTACGAAATCTGCTGCATGCAGCTGGTCTCTGCCCCACCGAGAAGCCCATTCCTCGATACATAGCCGCCTCCGGCGCCGGGAGGCGCAGGGAAAATCACCTACGTGGGCTGATTCTCCCCCCCCCCCCTTTGCTATCCCCCCCTTTCGCCCGACCCGAGAAAGAAGGGTATAACATCAGCTTTTTCGTTGAAGGGGGCGCTTGTCCCAGGGCGGCTGGAAAGTTTGTGACCTCATGGTGACACGTCGGTCTAAACTTTCCAGCCGCCCTGGGGCAGCGCCCCCGGCGACAGGACAGTCTAACTGTTATGTGATACCGTTCTTCGCCCGCTAATCACTCGGCGTGCCCGTGTACGAGCGGTGTCTCCTGCACCTCGGCGGCTACGGCACAGCCCCAGCCAGCGGCGGTGCGAGTCCCAGCGGGCCTTGGTGAGCTTCATCGGGTGCCTCACTCGGCGTGCCCGTGTACCAGGTGATCGTTTTCTTCTCCATTGTTTTGCCGATCGGCACGGGCTCTCGCAACCCGCCCGGAGTGGGTCTTGGCTGTTTTTTGGCGCCCGTTTCGAGTAGGTGCAGCCTCCACCATATGACTCACTGCTGCAAACAGTCGCATTACGCAGAGGTCCGGAGCCAGACCCCTCCCTCCCCCCCCCTTCCGCACAATCTCGAAACGCCGAATAAGAAAACGCTCACGTGCCCGTGTACCAGCGGCGTCTCTTGCACCTCGGCGGCTGCGACACAGCCCCAGCCAGCGGCGGTGCGTGTCCCAGCGGGCCCTGGTTAGCTTCATCGGGAGCCCTGCGACGGGGGTCAGTGCAAACGGGTGGGTTAGCCAGAGCGCCAGACCTCGCAGGATCCTGCAGAGCCACGGGTGCACTGACCCAGGTGAGCGCGCAAGAATTCTGCAGGATCCTGCAGGAGTTTGCAGGATCCTGCAAGCAAGGCCCGATTGACCTGGGAATGCACTGACCCAGGTCAGTGCGTCCCCGATTCAGCCGCTGCGATGTAGAGGGCCCGTCACCTGCCTTCGCATATGAAAACTCCACCAGACACGGCTTTGCGCGGGTCCTCTCTGCGCGCTGCTTCTTGAGCTCTCACATCGTGGCGAAACGTCGCAAAACATCTCGTTTCTCTTGGTATCGCTCGGACGTGTTCATTTTTCTCGGCGTGGATCATCGAGGAGCATTTTGGATCACCTAGCGGAAACATGAGCGCACGACATCGACAACTGCACTGGGAATGGATGTCAAAGCGATGGCGAGTTTGAGTCGTGTCCTCTAGCCACGCCGCCGCAATCCTTGCAGCCGTCATCGTGCACGATGCCGTCGGATGCAAGGCCTCCCGCAGGCCCTACACGGACGCACCTTTTGGTCTTCCTTGGAGCGACTCAGAGGCCAGCTGTCGAAGAAGAAGAAGAAGAAGACATAGCATGAACCGAAGCTTTCGGAGCTCCGCGCGGATGTCTTGGATGGGCGCTGGGACCCTCTCCCTGGCGCTCGGACCGCGTCAGTGGCGGCGCCGGAGGCGCCGCCAGGGCCGGGCGAGAGCAGATCCAATAATTCCGCATGGACATCCGAGACATGCTGATCATGCCGTTTTATTGGTTCCGCTATTCAGACCCGCGACGTCATATTTTTTCACAACGCCGACCCACAGAGGTCCGGACCCCCTCCTGGTGACGGGTTTTGTCACCTTGAGTCGTGTTGTTGACGCTCCCAGGGCTCGGCAAGGGCCCCTGGAGGCTAAAGACAGTCAAGCAGTGGCGAAGCGTCCTGGCTCGCCTACCGGCCCACCAAAGAATGTTCTAAGAACCTTTTGTGGTCTGCACGAGATGCTCTTAGAACAGCTTGAAGCAGCGAAAAGCCTCCCGTCGTGATGTTTTCTCAGCGCGAGGGGGTCTGAGTTGACTCCAGGCGAGTGGGCCAGGGCGCGAGAGGGCGCCGTGCAGAGCAGGCGTGTCCGCCGCCGCCAGACGTATACCAGGAGGGGAAGAAACACAGGCACAATTAATCGTCGATTCAGGTGGAAATGCGGGACAATATGGGAAGTGGGGAGGGAAGACGAAAACCCAGAACATATGTAAACATGTGTGGAATCCTTGGATTCGTGTGTGGCCCAAGGCCCCTTCAGTACACCTGGCGCGCCTTTGCTGGGGGGCCGGCTCCGCGGCGAGCCAGGGCGCGCGAGGGGCCCCGTCGTCGCGTGGCGGCGCGGCCCACGACGGGCGGGGCCGCCGAGGAAGGATGTGTGTGTGTGCTGGTTTTGGTCGTGCTGGTCTCAAGCCGGGCATGTCCCTCTACAGGTATGATGTTCTAACCTACTTTAGCTTTGCTTGCCAGAAAGAATTTCGAGCACGAAGTATGTTCCGAAACGGGAGGGTCCTCACGTGTCGGGCCCTGGGAGACAATCGTCCGACACTGTTTCGACACTGTTTCGACACTCGTTCGACACTTTTCCGGGTGCTCGAATTTATTTCTGGGATGTGGTTTTTCCTTACGTACGATGGGATCAACATAATTGTATGTTGTGTTTGGTTATGCTGGTCTTAAGTCGGGCATGTCCCTCTACAGGAGGAATATTCGAAAATAGTCAAAGCATAGTCGGGGGAGGACGTTTCGTCATCTTTCACAATATTTGGGTATTTCTGGGCATCTTTTTGCCATTTCTCCAAGCATCGGCCTGCAGGATGGCATGCCCGACCTGATGCTAGTTCTGGGTCTCTTCTTGGATGGGCGCGGGGGTTGCTAAGGGGACGAGGGCGTCATCAGTGGATGCCAAGGTGGGTTGTGTATGCGGCCTAACCTAGTTCATTAGTGGGTTGCGAACGCCCCAAGCGGACGGGGGGGAACAGCGATCCAGGCTAAGTGGGCTTCGCCCATTTGGCGGAGTTGTCTAATCTCAGGCGATCGCAAACATGGATGAACGGGGGCGTGGATTAGCGACGGGTCCCGTTTCCATGGGAAATCGCAGATTTCCGCCGCCGGACGAGGCGGCACCGGCCACATTTCGAGGAGGGCACCTCCCCCGATCCATGGATTTGGCGACCGCGCTCCAAATCCATGGATCGCTAATCCATGCTTGCGCGCCCCCGATAATCCTCAAGGCCACCAGGGGCATGACCCCTCTGGCGTCCACCAGGGGCATGACCCTATCCCCTTGGCAGCCCCGCGCCCCTCCCAGCTGGGGCCCTTCTGGGGCGCCTCCGGGGAGCTTCTCGGGCCTCCCAGGCCTTCCCTGGGCCTCATCTCTGAGCCAGGAGGGGCACAGCTCCCAGAAGGAGGAGGAGGAGGAGGAGGAGGAGCAGGAGGAGGAGAAGGAGGAGGAGCAGGAGGAGGAGGAGGAGCAGGAGGAGGAGCTCCCTGTCGAAAAGCGACGAATTTGCACATGGCCCGCGTCGGCCCCTGGGGCGCGGCGGAGAGAGAGAACCGCGCCTCGCGCGGCGATCTCTGCCGGAGCACCTGCCCGGCGCGGCGGGCGCCCACCACCCACCAAACCACCCCGACCCAACCCGAAGGCCTCAATTTTAAGGAGGGGAAAAAACACACAGACACAATTAATCGTCGATTCCCCAGAAAATATGGGAAAATATGGGAAGTGGGGGGGAAGACAAAAACCCAGAAAATATGCGAAAATATGGGACATCCTTTTATTTGTGTGTATTTATTTGTGTGTTCCAGGGCCCCTTCAAATTTGCCCTCCATTTCCAGTTGGGGGGGGGTCGGGGTGGAAAAACACATGGAACCCGTACCCCCCCAACCCGAAATTCCCCAAATGGGGGGCCAAAAGCCTAGTAAAATCAATGTTTGGCTTCAAAGAAGAGCTGCCCCCCCCCAGGAGGCCAAAATGGGGCCAAAACAATTGTAAAATCAATGATTTAGGCTTCTTCGCCGAGGCCGTTTTGGACGCCCTGACCGCTCGCGGCCCCCCCCGTCCAGGTCCACGGAGAGGGGGCAGGGGGAGGGGTAAACCCCTCCCCGAAGGGGAAGAGGGAGGGGTGGAAGAGGAAACGCTCTAAACCACCGACGCCCAGAGGGCTGGTGGGATTGGGGTCTTCGGGTTGCGCTGGGGTTGTCTGGTAGGCAGTCCGGCGCGGGGACCGCGACTGGCATCGCCTCTGGCCCGCGCACCCGCTGGTGTGCGACGCGCGAAGCCAGGCGGCCCGCGCGAGCTCCTGCAGCCCCATCGCCGGGTCGGCGATGCGCCGCCTTGTGCTGCGGCACGGTCGAGCCGGGGGTGGACCTCAGAGGAGGAAAAGGCACCCATACCTCCAGCTTTCCCTCGGTTTCCCCTTTCTGGGCCTCCTGGGAGGCCCTCGTCGCCACCGCTGGATTCGCCTCGCAATCCGGGTCAGAACGCACCCCAGGAGAGGTCCGGGGAGTGGCGGTATCGGTACCTTTTGGTCTGACCAGGACAGAGCCCCCACCCTCTGACACGTCGATTCGTGAGTTGTCCGTTTTCAGTTCTCGAGAGGGCGCCGCGGCCGTCAGTTTTTCCAGGCTTGCGCCCGCCAGGTCTGGGCACGAGGTCGTTTTCACCGAGTCACGTTTTGCTAAAGGGGGTTCTGTCCATCCCCGATCGAAGTTCGAAGAGGAAAAGAGGCGCAATCATAAACTTTCGTTACGTTGCATCTTCTGGGGCCCTCTTGTGCCCGACGCGGGCTCAACGCGGAATCAACGCGGATGTGGCGTGGATTTCACGCGTATTCGACGTGGACCCGACGCGGATTCGACGAGTGCAGCACGGATTCGACATGGGTTCGACGCGGACGGGGCGCGACGGGACAGACGAGCTCCGCTGGAGATGCAGCACAATTCTCGACGCTCCGCGCGGACCTCCCAGAGTCAACGTTCATGCCGTTTTGGTTCCTGTGGATGCGCCACCCCGTCTGCAGGCACGATCGAAATTGGCGCGGCCAACCCGCACAGTAGTGATGGGTAACCTTCCCAAGGTCATCCTCGCATCCTTGCCCCCTCGGCGCATCCTTAGCGACTTTCGCTCGCCAACCTCGTTGGAAGACGTTGCCATGGGCCTCCAAGGCCCGTGCATCCTTGCATCGCGTCCTCATGATACGGGCTGACTGCACGGAAAGAACGGGGGCGAAGATCGACAGGAGTTCCTGCCCTCTCTGAGCAAGGCTTGCTGTCGCTGCCGCCGCGACCGCTGCCCTCTCGAGACCGACGGGCCGCCCGCTCCACGTTAGCCGCTGTCGGTTTTGGGACCACACTTGCTGCAGGGCATCGTATCGGCGTTTCCCTAACATACTATACTACGTGTGCTCGGAGACCTAGAGGTTGACACGAACACCAATATTGGCGGTGTGCCCCCCCCCGAGGGAAGAGTATCCCAATCTCGGTGATGGTGGTAATATTCTGGCGTCCTAGGCGGCCCAAAGATTATCACCAACACCGAACTCTAGGATTATCTCCCCCCTGTTGAGGCACCCCCCTGAGTTGGTGGTGGTGCCCATTTCCAAGCCTCCAATGTGCGTCGCCCCCCCCCCCCCCCCAGGGGCGACGCGCGCACCGAGATTCTTGTAGAATATGCGTCGTGGCGGGCGCTTTCTGGCCACACCGCTCGGGAAACGAAGGATGGGTGTATTACATGTTCGGGTCGGACGCGCGCTCCCAAAGAGGACATATAGTATTTGTATGTCTCTGTGCGTCCCATCGTACCTCCTTTCTGCGTACCCCTTTTCCGCGACGAACAAATATACACATACAGCCTCCACTGGATTGTTCCTGGGCCTCGGGGGAGGGTGGCGGTGTATAAATCACCGCCGAGGGCCACCGGCTTTGTGCACCGCCGCCCTCCCTGAATGTACAGGCAAAGTTCGTCAGTGGGGGTCAGTGTATGTATTTTCGCGGCGTAACACTTGCTGTGAGGCATCGTACCCATTCTCTCCGTGCCCCATCCGAGGTCTTTCCCCGGGTCCGCGACTCCGCCGCGCGGCTTGGCGCGGGCAGGGCCGGCGACTCCGGCGTCCGGCATCAGCCGGTCCGCGCCGTCGCCGCCCGCTTCCGACATGGCGGGCGCAGGCCCCGAGGGAGGAGTTGGCGAGGTTGGCCTCGGGTCTGGTCCTCCGTCCTCCCTCCTCATCTGTCCTCCCTCCTACTCCGTCCTCCTCCTCCTCGTCTCCCTCCCTCCCTCCTCTTCCTCCTCCCCCTCCTCCATCTCCTCCTCGTCCTCCTCCTGCTTTACCTCCTCCTCCTCCTCCGCCTCCTCCTCCTCCTCCTCCTCCTCCTCCTCCTCCTCCTCCTCCTCCTCCCCTCCTCCCCCCCTCCTCCTCCTCCTCCTCCTCCTCCTCCTCCTCCTCCTCCTCTTCCTCCTCCTCCTCCTCGGTCGGTCGGTCGGTCGGAACTAAAGGCCGGTTCGAGTCGAAGCCTCTCCTAGGTGTGGGGAGCAGGGCAAGGGAAAATGGGCAGAGCGCTCCTACGGAGCAGGGCTGCAGGGCACGTGCAGTTAGACATCAGGGGTCAAGTCCAACACGGAGGCCAACAGCAAAAAAGAGAGCGGGGGCCGTTACAATGCAGGGAACGGGTCCAAGGGCTTCCAGAACTCGAATCCACCCCCGAGCACATTCACCACTTCACCCTCATCACTGCACAGCAACCCTTTCCTCTACTCATGTGTGAAAGCGGACGCAAGCACATCATAGAACCCCGAATGCAACTCACTCTGCCAGTTGGGCACTCTCCCGTCAAGTCCCATGTGGGAGTGCGCTTCCCTGCAGACTCCCCAGCCTTTCTCCCTCAGCTCCCCTTCGAAGGTGTCTAAGGATACACTCCACACGGTAATCGGTTCCCATCTAGTGTGCTGTCCAAACGTGCAACTATCAAGAACGTGCGAGGCCATCTCTTTCTTTTTTCCCGCCAGAGCAACCTCGGGCACATCCTGAATTTTACAGCCATGTCCAACTTCGCGCTGTACAATCGAAGTCCACGGAACCTTGTGCAAGGCGGCCGCACAAGCGAGCTCGAGACAGTCTCTCAAGTATTTGTTCTCAGCCTTGACGCAACTTCGCTCTCTGGCGTTCAAATCGGGTCGGCCCCAGGCGCACTCACGATTCCTCGGAGGTTTCACACGGGCACCAAGGGTCCCTCTAAGACCAGGCACAGCAAAAAACCCTCCACACAATTTTCCTTCCCCCATCAGATCCGTCCACTTCTTTACATCTTGCTCAAGCCACTCCACGTGAGAAACATGGATGAACTGAACATGCACACTCAATGTCGAGCTCTTGGCCTCGATATGGTATTGAAAATCCTCCTCCTTCCTCTCTCCTGAGCTGACAGTGAGAAAAAAACTGAAGCATGGCGTTGGAGGGTCTTCCAACGGGCGCTTGCACAGCGGGCCTGGCGAGCAGACACACAGGAGCGTCAACCGTGGGAGATTCGTCAACAGCAATTTTCAGCGCGAGCGGCGGTCCGTAAACTGGGTGGGCGGCCTTTTCCACAACATTCTCATGTTTGCCAGCTTTCCGGTTTTTACTCTGGCTGGCCAAACTGTCGAGTCTCCATGACTCCACTTCAGCACTCGAGACGGGCCTACCCAGCCCATGCCAAGTCTTGGCACACACAGGTTGTCTCTTCAGATGTTTAACCAACCGTCCATTGCTATGAAACTGGTAACAACAGATCTGGCACACTGTGCCACAAGCCCACGCATTGGGATCCTCAGCGTTTTTATGGAACTTCCCCTTATGGATAGCAAGGCCTTTGGAAGTTTTGGCAAGGTAGCCGCACTCGTAGCAGAGGAACCACGGGGCAGCAGTGTTGCCTCCTCCCGCTTCCTCTATGCCTTCTGCCGTTTCTTCCAGGGGTTGAACACCGAAACCCTCAAGACGCTTGCCAAATTCAACATTCTTCTGCTTTTCAAGCTGCACGTGCAGCTCTCTCTCAGCAGCTTCACGCACTCCAGCAAAACAGGGTTTGCGGCAGCTCCGAGCCGCGCGAATCCAGTCCATGGCCCCCCCCTGTCCAGGAATTCTCTTTTTGTCCAGGCGAGAGTTTAACCCGTCGAAATCGGTTTTCAGCTCAGCCGTCCATCCCTTCTCATCCCCCCAAAGAGTGTCCAAGGCAACAAGCAGCCCACTCGGCGCACAGGACAGGAGGCGCGCCAAATAACGCAGCCTGGCCACCCTAAGGATGGCATGTGACCAAGCCGTCCAACTTTGGCCAGAACGCTGGCGTGGGATTGGTGGTCTTCATCATTTCCTTTCAGCGGCATCCCCAAAGCAGCTCTGTACGCGGCAGCCTGAGCCGCAGCAAGCCTAGCATGAAGCCGAGCCCCCATGGGGTCCCAAATCGCCGAATTAAACCAAAGTTTGGACACCGCGAAGGCATCCGCGTACTTGACCCGAGTGGACACAGACAACACTTTTCTTTTTCCCAAGGCCACTTGGATGGGTCTTAGTTTCCTGCGAAGCACTCCCGTCCTGAGCTGGACCTCAGCCCCCATCCCCCCATCTTCCATGATCATCGCCCCCAGCCCCTTCATCTGCTTGACAATGGCAACCTTGATGGCATGCTTAGGGGACTGCACAAAGTCTCCTCCTCCCTCCATGGCGACCTTCCGTTTAGCAAGCTGGGAGCCTGGGCCCACAAGGGCCAACATAAGAAAAGTTTTACTCGCGTTTAGCTGAAGTCCGAACCTCGACACTGCTTCGAAAACTAAGTCAACTAAGAGGGCAGCTTTCATGTGCACATCTTCCGCCTTCTTGATCGCCCCCACTAGCGTGAGGTCGTCAACAAACGCAACCGAGTTATGGCCCTCCTGCCAGTGGGACTCATCAGAGAATCGTTTGTCAACTTCAGGCGGCTTCCAATCAAGCTCCAACTGCTGCATTCCTTCTTCTATCAGAAGGGTGATTGGAGTAAATGCGACGTTAAAGTCGTCGGTGGCAAACACCGTGCCTGGGCGCGTGCCCAGAGTCGGGCGCGCATGTGATGTTGCATGTCTGACCTTCCAAAATGCCCCGGCCTTCGTATCGCGCACCAATTCAAGAAGGTGCTGATCTTCAACCATATTTTCAAGAATAGGTTGGCCCTCAAGGGCCATGGTCGCGGAGAAAAGGGCCTCAGGGATTTGAACAGTATCCAGGGCAGCTTCCAGATCCTCCTCCTCCCCTGGGAGCCTCAAAATAAACTGCTTCACCACCGAGTAAAAAGCGGCGGTAAGATTTAAAAACATGCCAATGGTGGACACCTTCATCAACTTCTGCACGCGAAAACGAGTGCGCACAAAGTGGCTCGCCATATCTGTGCTCTTGCCCTGCAAGCCCCCACGCTGAGTAGTGTGCATGCATTTCAGCAACGCCCCCCACACACGTCCCCTCAATAATTTATGATGAACCTTCGCCAGCGCATTGGCAAGCATAATGCTACGCTGGGCAACAGCCTTCTCCATCTCTCCTTCCCCTTTCGAAATGGAAACGACCTCCCCCCTTTTCATCTCCAAGGGTTCCCGACCAGAGACCCCGCACTTCAAACCAACAGGAAAATACACCCTAGCCATGCCACCAGGGTCGATTCTAAAGAGGTCATTCGGCACCTTATCGGGTCCTGGGGCTTTGCCTGTTGGCAGCTGGCTAAAGGCTCTCTTCAACTTGTCGCGAGACATCAAATTATCAAGCTTCCTCTCAGCACGAGCCTCCAGCAACGTGCCTCGATCGTTGTACTTAGCAATAATATCAGACTCCGACGCTTCAATCGCCCTTTCGATGTGCCCGAAGTGCCGCTGAAGGTCATTCGCATCATCTTGTGGTGTGATGAGTGGTCTGCCTTCGTGGTCGCTTCTCATGGGAAACACTAGTGGTTGACGGTGCCTCCTACCCCCATGGAGCAAAAGACGTCTAGCTATCTTCCATTCTCGCAGAGACACATTTCCCTCAATGCTTGTGTTGATCAGATGCGCAGTGTCCTCTAAGTGTGCCGAATATTCTCGATCAAGCGCATCTAGCAGCAGCTGCTTAGACGCAGCTAAAAACCACGCCAAGGTCAAAGTCCACTCTTCAGCTGAGACTTGCTTCCAAGAAAAAAAGCCAGCCTGCAATGCCAGGCGCGTCCAGATCGCTTCAAGCTCTCCCCACATGTCCCCCTCAAAGCTTTTCGCGCTAACCCCCTCCGTGTAAACATCACCTTTTCTGATGCTCTGGGCCACGTAAAACAGCCTGCCCACATGCTTCTCAAAGCCCCCTTTGTGCTTCACAGCGTGCCTCGTTTTCTGGATGAGCCTCCTTAGCCTGATCAACCAGAACGTGGGCCCCTGAATGTGCTCTTTGCGTGGGCGGACAGCCGGCTTCGCAAAGGCCGACTTCGCTGCATCGAGTACTTGTCGATTGGCTTCCTGCAGCTGAGCATTCATGTCATATTGCCAACATGGCAACTCTATGGCAGCAACCTTTTCTTTAAAAATCTTGCGCGCTGCCTCCTGCTGCATCTTGTTGCAGTCAAGGTTGGTCCCGTGGCCTGCGGCCCGAGACGTCTGTACTTGCCATCGCAACCTGCCTAACACGGGGAAGTGGTCTTCACTTTTTTCTGATGAGGTCGATGTGGTGCTGTACCCTAACCTCCCCTATGGACTGAAAAAGTTGCTTATTGACCACCAGGAAATCAATCCTATGCTTACTCTTCGTTTTATTGTCCAGGAACGTGTAGTCGTTCTCATCCCCGAGGAACGTGTTAGCAGCTTTCAACCTGAAGTCCCCCAACCACTCCAGCATTTTGAAACTCCCCGCCGAGTACGTGCCTTTCGTCCCTTTACACCCAGCCTCCTCGGTCCCTGGGCCTCCTGAAAGATGGCAATGGCCATCCACAAAACAAAGGCTGGGCGTCCATTTCTCACACACCTCACGCATTTTAGCCCAGAAAGCGGCTTTGGTGGCTGGAGTGTTCGCTGAGTGGGGCGCGTGCGCCACCAATACGTACATGCTCACACCAGGTGCTTCAATCCTTGCCATGAGGAGTCGCGGCGCGGCAAAGACCACTCGCGCATGCTGCATGCAGAAACAGACAGACTTGCCTCTAGCTCTTCCGTAGGGAATGCTCAC